ATATATAAACAGAGCTTAATCACTAGATATTGATTTACAATCTTAGTCTGATCATTTGTTTGTACATGATGAGCTGATGATAGCTTCAGTTTAACTCTCAATTATCTGATGAACTCACTTCAGAAGTCTGAGATAAATTATGATTTATAGTTTAATATAATTGAATTTAGTACTTCATAATACTTATAGTAGTACTTCAAAAACAATCTTATCAGCTCTTTGACATCTGTCTTTCTTGTGATAGAAATAAATATAGACTTCTTACTTAGCTAACAGATAATCATCAATATTACATTATAGCTTTTTTTTATCATAAAGTTATTCATGAAGTTCATTGAGATATACTGTCAGGCTCTGCTAAGAATTGATAATGATTTCAATAGTTCTGAAGTTTTATCACAGAAGATCTTCATTCATTAGCACATCAGACAATTATTCACATACTAATTAATATCTTTGATTCAGTCATTTTAGTAGTATTTTATCTTCACTAGCAAGTATAGTTTTTCTTTTTCAAGATGTACTATTGATAACTACTTATGAATCTCCTGTAGAAGACATGTTTAGAAAGTAGAATCTTTCTCAATTGATAGTACTAAGTGCTGTTCAAAACACAAAAGTTCATCTATTAGCTCCTAATGCTATTCTTTCTATTGTACTTTCTTATACCTTGATTTTAGTGATTTTATTTCTCTTTTTCTTGTCTTAACTTTCTCAAGAATATATATACCTGCATCTATAGTCTTAACCTTAATAAATTCCTTGATAATCTTTGAATTTAATCTCTATAATTTGAAGAACAGTTGCATTTGAGTGTTCTTGCTATTTTTCTGAACCTCTGACTGACTTAGCACATCTGCTATTGTATTTTAACACCCAGACTGATATTGAATTAAAAAGTAGAATCAGAAAAGGAACTCTGCTCATTATGTTTATCAGACATTGAGATTTTTAATTATCATGAAGTACTCAAAAACTCAATGATTAGTTAGAATCTTAAATCTTTTTGATCTTTAAAAATCTTTCAGCTCAGCTTATCATTCTGTCAACACTCTCATAATAGCTAGCATCTATAAGGGGCTGAACCCCTAGATTCGCTCTGGCTGGCTGACTCAGCCTAGCCATCGTTTGCACGTGCGCACGTGATCATGCTACGCGAGCTTGCTTAAGCTTGTGTTCTCATCTCATTCTTTTCTTCCCTTTCCCAAGCAATTCGTCCTTGTTATATAGGAGGACTAGCCTCTAGTTCTTAGAGCTTAACCCTCTACATATGAGAAGTTTAATATGAAGAACTTGATTGAAGGAAAAAGCTTTAATATATCAATTAAGTTAGTCTATAATTAAATTGCTACTTCTATAAATTCTTTTGCTAATACTGAAGTGAATGATGTGAATTTTATTGATACTTAATATGCTATAGAATTAGTGAGATTCTTCAATAAGAAGTTTCAAGAACTACTGTTTAAATATCACATGAAGGGATACAATGATGCTCCTGGTGAAGTGATAGATTGTATATTAACTCTAAACCTCTGAGTGAATGACTGGAGATTTTCAGAATGTTTGCCTGCTGATAACAGACCTAGGTCAGCACTCTGTCATCCTGGGATGAAAGTGGTTAACAGCACAGGATATATGACTTGATGTTAAAAATCAACATCTGATTTGACTGAGTGAACAGTCTATCCCTGAACAGGTAGTGGAGTTAATGTTGAAGATAGTATCTCAGTCAATACTGAAGTGCTTAGACTCTAAGCCTGAGCATTAAACAGATGTGAATTGAAGAAAGATCAAACTGAACAAGGAGATCAGACAGAAGCATCAGACTCAGCTCTGCAGATTGAAAGAGATCAGCTTAGTTATGACATTTAAAATAAGGCAGAGACTGACCTGGGGGAAGACAGCACTACAAATAATGAATATGAACTTCATTGATACTGCTTTCTTTTATAATTATATGAAGAACAGGAACTTGATAGTCTTTATAACCAGTTTGTATAAAATTGATAAACAGCTTAAGAAGAAGCAGAGTTTAGTGAGAGCTGAGAATGAGTTTGATGAGAAGCTGATCTGCAACTTATCAGAATGATTAAAAGGACAGAAGGACTATTTCTCAATGAAAGTGTCAGATGAATTACCTTCTTTATGAAAGAACATTGGTTTTAAAATAGAGCTTCAGTCTAACATTGACCTCATCTGGAGCATTGGACATACACCTCTATATAAGATGAATTTAGAAGAACTAGAGACAGTAAAGACCTATCTCAAAGTCAATCTAGCAAAGGATTTTGTCACTTTAAGTTCAGTTCTCTACACCTCTTCAATTCTGATTGCCTGTAGTGGGAAAAAATTATAATTCTGTATCAATTTTCACAAGCTGAATGCTATAATCAAATGAGATCAGTATTCTTTGCTTTTAATAGATGAGCTGATGAACCAACTCAACAGGGCAAAGTACTTTACAAAGCTAGACATTCAGCAGAGGTTTCATTGCATCTGAATAGACTCTAAGTTCAAAGATCTGATCATCTTTAGAACTCACTACAGGATCTATAAATATTAAGTAGTTCTCTTTGATCTTACAAGTACACTTATCTGCTTTCAATGATTTGTTAATAGTATCTTCTTTGATTATCTGATTAAGTTTATAATAGCATTTATAGATGATCTTTTAATCTATAGTAAGAATCTGAAGGAGCACTAGCAGCAGGTAAATTCAGTATTAGACTGACTAAAGGCAGTTGATTTGCAAGCCAGTATTCAGAAATGTGAGTTTGCAGTCCAGAGAACAAAATATGTAAGATTCATCATCAGCACAGAAGAGATTGAGATAGACTCAGAGAAGACAACTGTCATTATGAGATGACAGACCCTTATCACAGTTAAAAAAGTTCAGTCATTTCTAGAATTTGACAATTTCTACTGATGATTCATAAAAAACTATAGCTGAATCATAAAATCACTGTACCAGTTGATAAAGAAGACTATTCTATTTGTATGAACATTAAAATGCAAATTAGTCTTTGAAAAACTAAAGAGATAGCTGATGAAGGCTCTAACACTGCATTATTATTACTTTAAATGAGAGACTCATATTGAAACTGACATCTCTAATAGAGTAGTGGCTGAGATACTAAATCAAAGATTTAAAAATAATCTTTGACACTCAGTAGCCTTCTATTCAACGTCAATGAATGACACAGAGCTTAATTATGAAGTTCATGATAAAAAATACTGGCAGTGGTTCAGACCTTACAAGAATGATGAGTAGAGCTTGAGAGACTATAATGAAAGAAACAATTCAAGATTCTTACTGATCATTATACACTGAAATTCTTTATAATTATCAAGAAGCTGAATGCACATTAAACTCACTGGACAAAGTTCCTTTTCTGTTTCTACTTTGAAAACAAGTATTAACCAAGCAAGACCAATCTGCTAGCATCAACTTCTCAGAGAAAAAAAACATTGCTAAATGCATAGTGTCTTTAAACAAGACAGTCACCTCAATTGTGCCCCTGCAGCAGTAGACAGATGATGAGAATAGTCTCTATACAATAGAAGACAATGTACTATAATACAATAAAAGATTAGTGATGTTTATTCAGGAAAAGAAAACTCTGATAGCTGAGCTACTGCAGAAAATTCATGATCAAGCTTCAACAGCACACTCTAAAAGATGAAAGACCCTGGCTCTGGTGCAATTATACTATTGATGGGTCATCTGGCAGACAGATGTTCTACACTACATTCAAAACTGTCATGTATGCTAAATCAGTAAAATTCTAAGAGATAAGACTTCTGATTTGCCAAAGTTATTATCAATACCAGAATGAGCATGGCAGCATATCACAATAGACTTCATGAATATGTCAAAAAGCAAAACAGATTATGACATCATTTTGATTATAGTATATCAGCTAAGCAAGAAGACAATCTTCATTTCAATCACTTAGAAAGTTACAGCCCAGGAGCTGGTCTGACTATTTATTCAATTCTACTATTCATATAATGAGGTGTCTGATACAATTATCTTTGATCAAGGCCCTTAGTTCATATCAAGTTTTTGAAATGAGTTTACACAAATTCTGAGCATAAAACTGAAACTTTCAACAGCATATCACACACAAACTGATAGACAGATAGAAGTAATGAATCAATACATTGCCATCTATCTACATCTCTATATCAGTTACTATCAAAATGACTGAGATAAATGACTGCTCATTATAGATCACATCTTCACAGCTACTTCAAATGCTTTCACAGGAATCTCCCCTCTTCCTCATAGCAAATAAATATGAACTTTGAATATCATTTGACTGATAATTACTAGTAGAGAAATTGAACATAAATGAAAAAAGAAATTGAGAAACAGCAAGGAGCTTCATTCACTGAATGAGAGAGATCAGAAATCAGACAAGTAAAGACATAAGAACAGCACAGAAACAGATGAAGAGGCAGACTGACAAGCATCATCAAAAGCCTGACTTTATAGTAAAATATTTTGTTTATCTAACATTGAAATCATACAAGATGAATTGATCAAGCTGTAAACTGACAGAGCAAAATGCTAATCCCTTCAGAATGCTGAAAAAGATGAATAATGTCTACAAACTAAATCTCCCTGCAACAATGAAGATTTATTTAATCTTCTCTCTAAACAAGCTATGCAAGGACTTAAAAGACCTTCTATTTGATCAGACTGTCAGACCACCAGACTCAATTGAAATAGACAGTAAGAATGAATGAGAAATAGATTGTATACTGACCAGTTGAATAAGTCAGAGCAAGCTGCAGTATCAGGTATACTGGAAGAGATTTGACAAGAATTCTTTATAGTACTTCACCCACAATTTCAAGAGATCACTATACATAATATGAGATTTCTATGAGGCCAACTCTACTAAAGCCAGACCACTGAAACACCTAGATGAATGAGTAAGGACATGGAAGACAGGCAGCTATCTGAAAGATGAAGACAATGACAATCTTCCAGCATGAGGGCATGCCTGTTTCTAGATCAGGGGGTTATGTTAGGCTCAGCACCAGGGCTAGGTTTACCTCCATCACATGACCACACCCCACATGTAACCTAGTAGATCAGTCATGATCTGGTCATGTGATCATGTGGGCTGTTCATAATCTAAGCAGAATCTGACACCTCTTTTTCCTCACCAATCTTAGAATTTCATTACATAGCAGTTAGCAACACAGAGAGTTTCCTTCTTATGCAGCTCACATTTGCTCCCTAACATTTTCTATCTCTTTCTTCAGTACTATTATATCTTTTTCATCATCATCAAAAATATCATTAAAAATATTATAAATGACTAATTTTTTTTATTTCTTATTTTTATCTAATTTAATCTTTCTCTATAGTTTTTTTTTCAGTAGAGATCTTTATTTTTTCTTATTTTTAATGAGTAAGTTAAATAAAAATTAAAATAATATAGTAATTACTATAGAGTTTCTTATAAAAAAGATATTAATTATAAAGATTATCTTTTTATTCATTGCTACTGAGAATATATTTTGATTTAGTTTATTTCTTAACTCAAAAATTATTTTTGAGCTTTGAAGTTGACTTATTACTTCTTTATTTAAGAGCTTTAAAATGAGATATTGTTTTTTTGATTGACTTAGCTTTTTTTATTTTAAAACTTTTCTTTTCTTTGATTTTAAGCTGTTTTTCTCTCTAAAACTTTCAAAGATATTAACTGAGCAGAAGTAGAAATGAAAATAAAAGTTATTTATATAAAAGTAGATTTTTTAACTGCATTCTATGCTATTTTTGATTGATTCTAAATGAGAACTTCCTGTTTAACTTTACTAGTTTGAGGCTGAAGTGAAACATATTTAATTGAACTAGTCATATTTATTTTGAACTTAATAATCTCATAAATTTACTTTAATATTAAAATTAGAAAATTAATAATTTTTTGATTTTCTTCTTTATCTATTTAATTTTTTAAAATAGATGCTATAAGCTTTAAATTATTAAGCTATTTAACTTGATTTAATAATTTATCTCTTTTATTTTTTTTAATCTATTATTTAAAGAGGTTTTGATGAGTTTTTTTTAAGTTTTTTTCTTTGTTTCAAATATAGAGAGTATTTTTTTTATATTTCAACTTTTATTTATATTTTTTATATATTTGATTTAATAAACTTTGATAGAATCTTTCTGATTTTACTACTAGTTCAGTAACTAGATTAGATTTTTCAAAAAGAATCTAGTAAACTAAGATTAGTTTTTAAAATAAACTAATAAAATATTTACAAACACTTCTTAATATATAGAAGAGGTAAAAACTAGTATAAAAAATATGATTTTTTTTAGAAAAATTATTAAAAACTGATTGATTATATCTATATTAAAAAAATTTTCCTTCTATAATAAGTATGTAGCTCAAATTTTTAAAATAAATATAGAATTATTATCTATACTTTTTTTAATCAAAAAAAAAGTTGAATTAAAGTAAGATTTTTCTAATTTTTTGAAGAAAAATCAGGAAAAAATTAATATTTTAAGAGAAATCTATAAATTTTACTAAAATATATTCTTTATTAGAACTTAATCAAATTTAATTAAAGCTTCAGTTAATTTTAACTGAGTTTTAACTGAATTTTATTAAACTTATTAAAGAATTATTTAAAGTTTAACTCTATAATATGTTTTATAAGTATGTATTTAGTTCTAGCTTATCTATATTCTTGTAGAGGATAAAGCTCTAAGAATTAGAGACTAGTCCTCCTATATGACAAGGATGAATTGCTTGAGAAAGGGAAGAAAAGAATGAGATAAAAATATAAGCTTAAGCAAGCTCACATAGCATGATCACATACACACATATAAATGATGGCTAGGCTGAGTCAGTCAGTCAGAGCAAATCTAGAGGTTCAGCTTCTTATAATACCCTTCTTCTCCCTCTTTGTTGCAGGTCTTTATGACTACTTAAAGTCCTCTTTACATCTAATTTTGCCTGCTGAGAGGTCTCTCAAGTGTTCAAAGTCTTCACTTCTTGTAGAAGACTTGCATCATTCCATATAGGCTCAGCTCAATCTACTCATTTAACAAGGTATTGCTTTTTCCTCTGGTAGGTTCATTCATCTCAAATTTCCTCAATCTCAAACTCAGGTCCTTCTGAGGTCTCTATAGCAGGTGGCTGCTAGTTAGTTTGCCTCTGACTAGACAAGGAATTCATTGCCATCACATGTAGAAGCTTTACATTAAAGACATTGTGAATATCAGATGAGATATTCAGTCAGTAAGTATGAAATTCTATCTTTTCTAGTACAGCATATTGATTATATTTCATGTCCAGCTTTTTGCACAAGTGATTAGTTCTCATGTTCTCTAAGCTCAACCAGATCTTATCTCCAGGTTGAAAGCTTGGAGCTGAGTCTCTTCATCTATTCATGTAGTTCTCTTGAGATTGCTGAGCATCTGTCATTTTTACTTGAGCTTAGTTCAACACTTCATGAGCCTTTCTCATATAATCATCTGCAAACTCAATGAGATTATGTGGTGTTTCAACAGAGAGTGCATCAGCTATATCAATGAAGAAGATGTAGAAAAGATGTGTTAAAAAGAATAAGCCTATACCTGTTGAGACAGTATCTCTATTATTGATGATCAGCTCTGTCAGAGAGAGTCATTCATACCCGTCATTCTGTTGAAAGCTAATGTACTTGCATAGATAGGTTTTCAGAGTCTGATTCATTCACTCTGTAGCTTCATCAGTCTCTGAGTAATAGACTATAGAGAATTGTCTTTTAATATCTAATTTCTCACACACCTGAGTTCAAAACATGCTTGTGAAAACTGATCTTTGATCTGACACTACTGTCTTACAGATGTCATATTGAGGGATGATGTTGTGAAGAAACACTTTAGTCACTGTCTTCATATCAGTTTTCTTAACTGCTTTTAATATAACTCTTTTGATCAGTCTGTCTATTATAATCATGATGTTCATGTATTCTTTAAAGCTTGATAAGTTCACAATAAAGTTCATAGAAAGCTCCTGCCATATGTGTTCAGAAATGAGAAGAGGCTTAAGCAGTTTCTGATGTCAATCTCTCCATGCAATGTTTGATCTATAAAGATGACAGTTCCTAATCATTCTTCTCACATCAGTGACATAGCTTGACCAGTAGAACTCATGTATTAGAACTTCTGCTGTTTGCTCTCACTGAGGATGACCAGTAATAGATGAGTTATGAGCCTCATGCACTAACCTGGTTTGAAGAGATTTGAAGTCTGACACTCACTTACAACCTTGAAAAAGAAGCTCTCTGTTCTTATTTAAAGAGCACTCAGAGATGAAGATCTTAATGCTGAGTTCAGAAGAAAATCTGAATCTTCTCTCATGAAGAGTCTGCTTCAGATATTGCAAAATCTTGTCATTTTTATGAGTCTTATTTCACTGAGCTTGAAGAGGCATCTCAGATTTCACACTAGCAGTGATCACTCTTGATTCCATTCCAGGTGCTAGCATATTAAACTTAAGTAGTTGAGCTTGTCTCTGCTTGATTCTCTCATCATCAGCACTTTGTGACATGTTCTGCTCTCTTTGAGATAGAGTGTTTGATTTAACATTCAACTTCCCTGACTGATAATCAATTCTGAAGTTAAATCAATAGAGAATATCTATTCAATGTAGGTGTCTTTCATTTAATCTATATGTAGTCATGAAGTATTCTAGATTCTTATAATCTGTGAGAATCTTGAATTCCTTTACACTTTGTAGCTCAGCATTTCATTTCTTTAAACACTCAGTTATTGTTAATAACTTCTTATCATAAATCTCATAGTTGCATTCTACAGATGAATACTTGTGAGAGAAGAAGGCACATGAGTATAAAATGCTCTGCTTATCATACTGTAGTAGCACTCCTTCTGAGGCATAACCTGAGGAGTCTGTTTTCAATATAGTCTCATAGTCAGGGTCAAATTGAAGCAGGATTGAAGCAGAGATAAACATTAATTTTAGACACTTAAAAGCTTTCTCAGCCTTGCTCATCTACAAAAAAGAAACATTCTTGTGTGTAAGAATTGTCAGTGGAATCATGATCTTTGAGAAATCCCTGATAAATTATCTATAGAAATTGGCAAAGTCTAAAAATTCTCATACACTTTTAAGAGTAATAGGTGTCACCTATTTTAAAACAGTTTTAAACTTCTTTGAATTCATTTGTATACCCTTGCCTGCTTCAATGATGAATTCAAGATATTTTATGTTATTCATCTTAAACTCACTTTTTCTGATATTTGCCTGCAGGCCTGCTTCTTATAGATGCATAAGCATCTTTTGTATATGCTCATGATGCTCCTGTAAGCTTCTTGAGGAAAATATCAAGATGTCATCTAAATAGACTGAGTAGAAGTTGTCCAGATATCTATGTAATGCTCAGTTGATATATTTTTGAAATATGCTCAGAGCATTAGCCAAATTAAAGAGTGTAATCAGCCACTCAAATAGCCTATATCTGGTTCTAAAGACTGTCATTCACTCATCATCTTCTGAGATTCAAATCTTGTGAAAAGCTGTAATAATATCCAGCTTAGTGAATCATTTAGCTCATTCAATTCACTGTAAAGTCTCACTGATTAATGATAGAGAATATTGATCCTTTCAGGTGATTTTGTTAAGAGCTTGATAGTCTACACAGAATCTTAGTCCACCCTCAGACTTCTTTGCAAATAATACAAAAGTGACTGTGAGAGAGTTGCTCACTTTAATAAAACTCTTATCTAGATAATCTATAAGAGTTTTTCACAAAGTCAGTAGTTCCTCTTAAGACATATTATATAATAAGTCCCAATAGTGTTGTTCTATACTACCATTAGTCTTTTTAATCAGTTCAATCCTATGATCTCTACCTGGGTCACAAAGTGGGGGTAGAGTGTTAGTGGCTTTCTTATCAAATATGTATAAAAACTCATGATAATATTCAGACAACTTTTTTCTAGAGTCAATTTTTTATTTCACTTCTAGAGTCTTTTAAATATCAGTCAAACTGACAGTAAAGATCTTAATATTTCACTTCTTTCAAGTGCTCACAAGCCTAGAGAAGTTTATGACAGAGATGAGAATTACATCAGTTTTTGTATTTGAACTAGACTCTATCTTTATGCCACTCTCTTCAAATCTCACAATTCTTTGATGAGAAATCACAGTCATCTTTTGCTGGGCCAGCCAGAGGTCATCTAGATACATATCATAACCATGTAACCCATTTACCACATAGAGAAAAGCCTGTTCAGTTACATGACTGCTTATATCAATTCAAATGCCAGTCACCATACTTGTAGATAGTCTCATGAAGTCTTTAAAGCCAGTTATTTTAACAGAGAGAATTTCAATGCACAGGAGCTTATGCTTATTAATGTAGAATTGAGAAATAAGATCATAGATATTACATTTACTGTCTATTATTTCTATAGTTGAAAAGGCATTATCTACTAAAGCATTGACAGTGAAGGGTTTGAATATCATCTTAAATTTAAATCTTCTTCATTACTTCTTCATAAGCTTCTTATTTCACTCCTTTCAGTGTTTTTTGATTGGAGCTACTCTTTTTCTAAATTCTCACTCATATTCACATTGTCATTGTCCAGTACTGACTTGAAGATCACCTTAGCTATCATAAAGATGGCAGAGCATCTGAGAGGTTTGAATAAGCAGCTCTTAATTATATGATCTTCAGCTTTACATCTCAGGCACAGGCCTTACTCTCTTCATTGATTAATCTCTGTCTGATTTATCAATTTGATGTGGTGAGTGCTTGGAGTCACAGCACCAGAAGAGAAATTTATCAGATCATCAGCAGAAGCTTGAGACTGATTTCATTGATCAAGAATAGCATGATAAAGTGAAGAGTGTGAATTAGATATTGTATGATCTGAAGAAGATCTGCTCTCATAATGTTTAGATCACTGTCTTAAAGTCTTAAGCTCAGAGAGTTGATGATCAACTAATCTAAGCTCCTTGCAGTAATTCTTGTAAGGAGATGATTTTCTTACACTCATCATACCTTCCCTCAGCTTCATGCTTAGAGCAGATTTCAAATACCTCTTTTTAATATGATCATCTCATCCATGACTATCAGCTTTCAGCAGTAGCTGATTAAATTCAAATAGAAAGACAAAGAGAGCTCTTCTACTCTGTCATAGATTATTGAGCTTTTACATACCCTTTTTCTGTTGTGCAGAATTACTAAAGAGCATGCATGTCTGCTTCAGTAAGCTCTCTATCATGAAGTTGATCTTATTCTTATTATTCTCAATTCAGAAGTAAACATAAGCTGCTGTCATTTCTTTCAGTCTCAAGTACACATATCAAGCACATTTCTCATTATTACTTAAAGCTTTCCCATCAATTTTAAGTTTTGATTAAAGCTTTAGCTCTCACTGATGGTAGTGCTTCAGATTAGAACCATCATACTTCTTGCAGTTTAGTAACTTGATCTTTAGTCTTCTAACTACAATAAGTGATTGTGAGTTCAATTGAGAGAGAATTGATGTTGAAGTGTTCAAAGCTTATTATAGATTAGCTATTTCAGCTTGCTGAGCTGCTATTAAATCTCTGTTCTCATGCTAGATCTGTTCCTGCTGTTGAAGAAAGATCATTCATTGTTGTTCAAAGCTGCTGAGAGCATCCCTGCTCATTGCTTCATGTTGATTCATTTGTGTATTTGTTGTACAAGTCTCATTCAGCTAGACATTTTCAATGTTGCTCATTTGTTTGTTAGCATGATTGCTAACTCAGTCTATTCATATACCAGTGCTATCACTGAACTTCATGATGCAGAATTTAAGACTCTCAATAGCCTGTTATATGTCAGCATATTTGCTGAGCTTCATGATATAGAATTAAGACTCCCAGTGGCCTATCAATGAAAGGAGTGAAGCAATTTGTAATGTAGAGAGTTAAGCTCTAAGAACTAGAGGCTAGTCCTCCTATATAACAAGGATGAATTGCTTGGGAAAGGGAAGAAAAGAATGAGATGAGAACACAAGCTTAAGCAAGCTCACATAGCATGATCACGTGCGCATGTGCAAATGATGGCTAGGCTGAGTCAGCCAGTCAGAGCAAATCTAGGGGTTCAGCCCCTTATAATTCTTAGCTATACTCAGTTAATTATAATCTTTAGCTTGTAGTCTACAGAGGTTAGATAGAAATTTTAAATCATATGCTCTTCACTTTTCACAGATATCTTTTCTGCTATATTTAAATAAACTTTGATGAGAATAGTATGGAAAAATATTTAATATAATAAAAAGAAAATAGAAATTGATAGAGATTTCAAAGAGCTCAAATATGTCTTTTCTCAATAATGAGTTAATAAAAGCTTTTGAAAACTATTTAAATTATTTTAATCTAATTAATCTTTTATTTATTCAATTTTTATACTCTTTAAATCAAATATTACTGATTAATAATAAAAATTATTGATAAATATTTACTTTATAAAAAAAAGTATATTTTTAATAATTAACTCTTTAAATTTTAGCTGAATAGTATAAAAATTAAGAGACTGATCAATTTTAATAAGAGCTTTCAAATAAAAATATTTATGAATTAAAATTTAAAAAATTAATTAAGTTATAAAAAAAGTATTATACTATTATATAGATTAAAATTAGAATTCTAGAAAATTATTTAAATTCTCTGTAGATTTTATATTTGCAGATAAATAAAGTTTTATGATAAATATATTAATAGATTTAAATTTTTAATATATAGATAAATTTAAATTTTCAATATATTTTTTATTTATATAAAAATTATAAATATATAAATTTAGGATAATTAATAATAGTTTAGATAAAATAGTATATAAATTTATTAATTAATATATATTGATAAATACTTTTATTTTACATCTAATAATATTACATTAATTATGTAATAAAAAATAAATAAGAAGATAACTATTACACTGTTCATTTTATACTAGAATCTCTCTTTTATTATTAAAAAACTTATAATTTTTCTCTATATGAGAGTTATAAATTTTATTTTAATATAAAAATTTATAAAAATAAAATATTGATTAATATATTAAGAATAAATAATATATTAGTTAATTTAACTAATTGATTATTTATTAAATTATTAGATAAATTTTTTTTACTCAAACTAATAATATTACTACTTGTAATTTTTAAAATAGACTTATATTAGAGTATTAAATTGATTTTAATAATAGCTATAGTATGAAGTAACTTTAGAATTATTTAATTAATCTAGTTTTTTATTTAATTGATATAAATTTTTATATATAATATTTAAATTAAATATATTATAATTCTATATATCTTTAATTTTATCAATTATAGATTAATATTTGATAAAAAAATTTACTTAGAAAATTTAATAAATTAATTAAATTTTATAGATTTATCAATTTCATTATTTATATTTATAATTTATCTAATTTTAATATTTATTTTAATTTTTTTCTTATTAAAGATCTTCTGTAATAAATTGAATATCTTTTTAACTGATTTCTTAGCTAAATTTTTACTAGATTATTTATTTTCATTAGCTTTTTTACATTTTTTATTGAAATAATCTTTCTTGTCACAGTTAAAATATTTTATATTTTTTATCAATTTTATTTAACTAACTGATTTATTAAATTTTAATTTATTTAACTTTTCAATATTTTTTTATCTCAGTATTATATTATTCAATTATTTAAGAATAAAATTCTTTTAATATTACTCTGACTTTACTAGTAATTCTTTAATTTTTTTAATTATTTGAACTAATACTTATCATCATTCAATTAAAGTTAGAATAATAACAAGATAACAACTTTATTTTATAAATTTAACTAAATAGCTTTAATAATAATACTAAACTAGAAATTAGAATAAAAAAATAAATGAGTAGTTAAATATAAAAAAATAATTGAGAATTAAATTAAGTTAATATTTAAAACAGATATAATTAAAAATTAAAGTAGATTAATATAAGCAACTGAATATAGTTAAGATCAAAATGAATCAATCTTTAAAGTATAGTGAAGTAAATTAATTTTAATTCATATATAAGCAGTTATACTATAATATTATCTTTTGATTTAAAAGAGTATTTGCTTGCAAGCAGCTGTGTTAGAAGTAAAAAAAAAAATAAAAAAAAAATTCATTAAGCTTATAAGTATACTAATCATTATAAGGGGCTGAACCCCTAGATTTGCTCTGGCTGGCTGACTCAGCCTAGCCATCATTTGCACGTGCGCACGTGATCATGCTATGCGAGCTTGCTTAAGTTTGTGTTCTTATTTCATTTCTTTCTTCCCTTTCTCAAGCAATTTGTCCTTGTTATATAGGAGGACTAGCCTCTAATTCTTAGAGCTTAACCCCCTACATTATGAATTGCTTCACTCCTTTCATTGATAGGCCACTGAGAGTCTTAATTCTGTATCACAAAGCTCAGCAAATGTGCTGACGTATGATAGGCTATTGGGAGCCTTAAATCCTGCACCATGAACTGAATGAGATAAAGCAGCAGACTTGTACAACAAATATACAAATGAATCAACACAAAGCAATGAGCAGGAACACTCTCAGCAGCTTTGAACAACAATGAATGATCTTTCTTCAACAGCAAGAACAAGTTCAGTGTGAGAATAGAAATTTAATAGCAGCTCAGCAAGCTGAAATAGCTAATCTATGACAAGCTTTGAACATCTCAACATCAACCCTCTCTCAATCAAACTCACAATTACTCATTGCAGTCAGAAGATCAAAGACCAAGCTATCAGACTGTGAGAAGTATGATGATTCTAATCTAAAGCACTACATTCAGTAAAAGCTAAAGCTTCAATCAAAACTTAATGTCAATGGGGAAGCTTTAGATAATAATGAGGAATGTGCTTGATATGTGTACTCAAGACTGAAAGAAATGACAGCAGCTCAAGTTTACTTCTGAGTTGAGAGTAATAAGAACAAGATCAACTTCATAGTATAAAGCTTACTGAAGCAAACATACATACTCTTTATTGATTCTGCACAACAGAAAAAGACTATGCAAAAGCTCAACAATCTATGACAGAGTAGAAGAGCTCTTTTTGACTTTCTGCTTGAATTTAATCAGCTACTGCTGGAAACTGATGGTTATGAATGAGATGATCATATTAAAAAGAGGTATTTGAAATCCACTCTAAGCATGGAGCTAAGGGAAGGCATGATGGATGTAAGAGAATCATCTCCCTACAAAAATTACTGCAAGAAGCTTAGATTAGTTGATCATCAACTCTCTAAGCTTAAGACTTTAAGGCAGTGGTCTAAACATTGCAAGAGCAGATTTTCTTCAGATCATACAACATCTAATTCACACTCTCTACTTTGTCATACTATTTTTGATTGATGAAATTACTCTCAAGCTTTCATTGAAGATCTGATGAATCTCTCTACTGGTGCTGTGATTCCAAGTACCTGCTACATCAAATTGATAAATCAGACAGAAATTAATCAATGAAGAGAGCAAGGCCTATGCCTGAGATGCAGAGCTGAAGGTCATATGATTCAGAGCTATCTGTTCAAATCTCTCAGACACTCTGCCACCTTCACAATAGCTAAAATGATCCCCAAGCTGGTACTGAACAATGATGATGTGAATATGAGTGAGGATTTGAGAAAAGAGTAGCTTCAATCAAAAGACACTGAAAGAAGTGAAATAAGGAGCTTATGAGAAAGCAATGAAGAAGATTTAAATCTAAGATGATATTCAAACCTTTCACTGTTGATGCTCTAGTAGATAATACCTTTTCAACTAGAGCAATGATAGATAGTGAATGTAATATCTATGATCTTATTTCTCAATTCTACATCAACAAGCATAAGCTCCTGTGCATTAAAATTCCTTCTATTAAAATGATCAGCTTTGAAGACTTCATGAGACTCTTCACAAGCATAGTGACTGGCATTCAAAGTGATATAGATGATCATATAACTGAACAGGTCTTTCTCTATGTGGTGAATGAGTTACATGATCATGATATGTATCTAGGCAACCCCTGGCTGGCCCAGCAAAAGGTGACCATGATCCCTTATCAAAGAATTGTGAGATTTGAAGAGAGTGGTATAGAGGCAGAGTCTAGTTCAAATGTAAAAGCTGATGTGATTTCCATCTCTGTCATAAGTTTCTCTAGACTTATAAGTACTTGAAAGAAGCAAAATATTGAGATCTTCACTGTCAGTTTGACTGATATTCAAAAGACTCTAGAAGTGAAATCAAAGATTGACCCTAGAGAAAAGCTGTCTGAACATTATCATGAGTTTTTAAACATATTTGATAAGGAAGCTGCTGATACTCTACCCTTACTTTGTGACCCAGGTAGAGATTATGAGATTGAACTGATTAAAAAAGCTGATAATAGCATGAAACAACTCTATTGAGGCCTACTATATAATATGTCTTAAGAGGAACTACTGGCTTTGTGAAAGACTCTTACAGATTATCTAGATAAGAGTTTTATTAGAATGAGCAACTCTTCTGCAGCCACCTCTGTACTATTTGTAAAGAAGTCTGAAGATGAACTAAGATTCTGTGTAGACTATTGAGCTCTTAATAAAATCATCTGAAAGAATTGATATTCTATATCTTTAATCAGTGAGACTTTACAGTGAATTGAATGAGCTAAATGATTTACTAAGCTGAACATTATTGCAGCTTTTCACAAGATTCAAATCACAGAAGGTAATGAGTGAATGACAGTCTTTAGAATCAGATACAAGCTGTTTAAGTGACTGATTACACTCTTTGATTTGACCAATACTCTAAGCACATTTCAAAAATATATCAACTGAGCATTACATAGATATCTGGAGAACTTCTGCTCAGTTTATTTAGATGACATCTTGATATTTTTCTCAAGAAGCTTACAGGAGCATTGTGAGCATGTACAAAAGATGCTTATGCATCTACAGGAAGCAGGCCTGCAGGCAGATATCAGAAAGAGTGAGTTTGAGATGAACAGCACAAAATATCTTGAATTCATCATTAAAGCAGGCAAGGGTATACAAATAGATTCAGAGAAAGTTAAAGCTATTTTAAAATAGATGACATCTACTACTCTTAAGAGTGTATGAGGATTTTTAGGCTTTGTCAATTTCTATAGATGATTTATCAGAGATTTCTCAAAGATCATGATCCCACTGACAATTCTTACATGCAAGAATGTTTCTTTTTTATGGATAAACAAGGCTGAAAAAGCTTTTAAGCATCTAAAATCAATGTTTATCTCTACTTCAATTCTGCTTCAATTTGACCCTGATCATGAGACTATATTGGAAACAGACTTTTCAGATTATGCTTTAGAAGAAGTGCTGCTACAATATGATAAGCAGAGCATTCTATACTCATGTGCCTTCTTCTCTCACAAGCATTCACCTGCAGAATACAGCTATGAGATTCATGATAAGAAGTTATTAGCAATAATTGAGTGTTTAAAAGAATGAAATACTGAGCTATAAAGTGTAAAAGAATTCAAGATTCTCATAGATTATAAGAATCTAGAATACTTCATGACTACACACAGACTAAATGAAAGATAGCTACATTAAATGGATATTTTCTATCAATTCAACTTCAGAATTAATTATCAATCAGGAAAGTTGAACACTGAACCAGACACTCTATCATGAAGAGAGTAGAACATGTCATAGAGTGCTGATGATGAGAGAATCAAGCAGAGGCAAGCTCAACTACTTAAGTTTAATGTACTGGCATTTGAAATGAAATCAAAAATAGCTGCTGCCAGTGTGAAACCTGAGATATCTCTTCAAGCTCAGTGAAATGAGACTCACAAAAATGACAAGATTCTGCAGTGTCTGAAGCAGACTCTTTATGAAAAAAGAGTCAGATTTTCTTCTGAACTCAGTATTAAGATCTCTATCTCTGAGTGCTCTTTAAATAATAACAGGAAGCTTCTCTTTCAAGGTTGTAAGTGAGTGTCAGACTTCAAACCTCTTCAAATCAGATTAATGCATAAAGCTCATGACTCACCTCTTACTGACTATCCCAGGTGAAAGCAAATGGCAGAAGTTCTAAGATGTAAGTTCTACTCATCATACTATGCCACTGATATGAGAAAAATGATTAGGAACTGTCATCTTTGCAGATCAAACACTGTATAGAGAGATCAACATCAGAGACTGCTTAAGCCTCTTCTCATTTCTGAACATATGTGACAGAAGCTTTTCATGAACTTTATTGTAGACTTATCAAGCTCTAAAGAATATATAAATATCATGATTATAATAGATAGACTAATCAAGAGAGTTATATTAAAAGTAGTTAAAAAAACTGATATGAAGATAGTGGCTAGAGTGTTCCTTCACAACATTATTTCTCAATATGGCATCTATACAGCAGTAGTGTCAGATCAAAGATCAGCTTTCACAAGTATATTTTGAACTCAGATGTGTGAGAAATTAGACATTAATAGACAACTCTCTACAGTCTATCACTCAGAGACTGATGAAGCTACAGAGTGAATGAATCAGACTCTGAAAATCTATCTACACAAGTATATTAGCTTTCAACAGAATGACTAGTATGAATGACTTCCTCTGACAGAGCTAATCATCAATAATAAAGATGCTGTCTCAACAGATATGAGCTCATTTTTTTAACATATCTTTTTTATATTTTCTTCATTGATATAGCTGATGCACTCTCTGTTAAAACATCATATAATCTCATTGAGTTTGTGAATGATTATATGAGGAAGGCTCATAAAGTGTTGAAGTGAGCTCAAGTAAAAATGATAGATGCTCAGCAATCTCAATAGAACTATATGAATAGATGAAGAGATCTAGCTTCAAGCTTTCAACCTGGAGATAAAATCTGATTGAGCTTAGAGAACATGAGAACTAATTGCCTATGCAAGAAGCTGGATGTGAAATACAATCAATATACTATGCTAGAAAAGATAGAATCTCATACTTATCAACTGAATATCTCATCTGACATTCACAATATCTTTAAAGTAAAGCTTATACATGCTGTGGTGATAGATTTCTTGCCTAGTCAGAGGCAAACTGACTGACAGCCACCCACTATAGAGACCTCAGAAGGACTTGAGTTTGAGATTGAGGAAATTTAAAGTGAACAAACCTATCAGAGGAAAAAGCAATATCTTGTTAAATGAGTAGGTTGGGCTGAGCCTACATGAAATGATATGAGTCTCCTACAAGAAGTGAAGGCTTTAAATACTTGAAAGGCCTCTTAGCAGGCAAAATTAGATATAAAGAGGACTTTAAATAGTTGTAAAGACCTGCAACAAAGAGGGAGAAGAAGAGTATTATAAGAGGCTGAACTTTTAAATTTGCTCTGGCTGACTGACTCAGCCTAGTCATTGTTTGCATGTGTGCAAATGATCATGCTATGTGAGCTTGCTTAAGCTTGTGTTCTCATCTCATTCCTTTCTTCCCTTTCTCAAGCAATTCATCCTTGTTATATAATAGGACTAGCCTTTAGTTTTTAAAGCTTAACCCCTTATAATTATCTTGATAATTATTCATTAAATTTTTATATATTTTCTTTCATATCTCACTAATATCAGAGCCATCATCTGATTCTTACCTAGAGATTGAAATTTATTTGATAGTTTAACAGCAATAGAGCTTAAAAAAATATAAATAGAAATGATAGTCTTCAATTTAATAATTATAAAATTTAAAATATAAATAATATTGTAATAGTTTAACAAAATATATAATAAATAATTATACAAAAGATCAATAATATTAAGTTAAATCTGATTAAAATTTTTATATTCATGATGATTAGAATGAACAGAGTGAAATAAATAATTAGAGTAAGCAGAGTTATTAAACAAGTTGAGCTATTGAAATAAGTTAAATTATTGAATAAATTAAACTATTAAGTAAGTTAAACTATCAAGCAATTAGAATGAGCTAAACTATTGATGTAATTAAAGTGAGCTAGATATATAATATGATCAATTGAAAAAAATATGATAAGAATAAATAAAAAAAACTAGAAGCTAATTGCTGAATAATATATAAAAAATTTTTTTATATTCAAAGAAAGTTTAATTATTAAGCTAGATATTTTCAGATTAATATACTGAGAATATATATATTCAAACTTAGTAATATATACTATTAGGAATTTAATTAAAATCTGGCAGTAAGAGCTTTAAATGAAATCAATATTAAAATTAAGATTGAGATTGAAAGTCATTCAGAGCTATTGATCTAATTAAACTTTTGAATAGCACTTTCAAATTTTTGATAAGAGGTAGTAATAGAGGCTTTTATAATAAATATAAGAAAAAAATAATTAATTAATAAGGTTTTAAGCACTTAGCATAGTTGCAATCACTGAAAAGCTTATAGAGATATAAACATAGACACAGATATAGATATAAATATAAATATAAATATAAATATAGATTTAAATATTTAGTATAGTTGTAATTACTATGAAGCTCATATAAATATAAATATATAAATATTTATTACTTAATCTTCAAAGCTTTTTGAAAAAAAGAAGTTTAATATTATATCATAACTCAAGTAGAGTCAAAATGATAATAAAATAACAAAATAATAGTTTCAATTTATTTGTTTAACTAAGTAGCTGTGATAATAATACTAAACTAAAAATTAAAATAAAAAATGAATAAATAACTGAATATAAAAAAGTGATTAAAAATTGAATCAGATCAATTTTAAAGCAGATATGATTAAGAATTAAAGCAGATTAATATAAGCAACTGAATATGATTAAGGTCAGAATAAATTAATCTTTATAATATGATAGAATAAATAAATCTTAATTCTTATACAAGCAGCTGTGCTATAATATAAACTTTATTAAATTTTCACTTCAATGTTATTTTACTCATTCTGCAGCTATCTAAGTAAGAGTTGTTAAGTTTTAATACAGCATTAATAATATGTTATTATGTAAAGAATTGAATAAACATAGTTAATGAGCAAATATATTGCAATATCTAACTAATCTAAATCACTGATTGTAATAAACAACTCATTGTGTAAGTATGACTTATAGAGAAAAAGAAATAAAGACTATGTCAAACCAGAAGTAGTTATTTTAACTCCAGACATGCATAGAAATGACTATATAGAAGGTTATAGCTGTATAGCTATATCAAGCTGTTGAGAAAAAGCTAACTTTACATTTTCTACTTGTGTACTTCTGGATTAATATTACTTGAATTATATTATTCTGCAGTTACAGATGTTAAGACTGAATGAACAGTTGAACAGAGCATAACTAATCATCATCTAGCTCATTAGTTAGTCAACAATTATCACTACATCAGGATGAAAGCATCTCCCTGTGAGAAGAACATCTGAGCATGCTGGCCAATATACCCATGGACTAACTATATATGTGGTAATTAGGCGCTTTTCAGAATTGCTGGCTGAAGCTCCTTTTGCTGCTGCCTCAACGTTTGGTGAGGTGAAAAAAGCTGATACTTGGCTAGGACGACAGCGGCATCTTCAGAAGCGAAGTGGTAGATAAATTAATTCGGTTTTCGTAGTTCTAAAATGACTTTGGGTGCCGCGAGCTATGTTTTCTTCGCATTACGCCAAAAAGTGTAAACATTGCTTCTGGGTCAACTTGATCCCAAATGGCGAGTTCCATGTCTCGTGAAGGGAGATTGTTCGCAGGAAGTATGTAGTATCATTTGAACCTTGAAGAGCTTCGAAGAGGCTTTTTAAGGCCCCAAGCGAGCGACCCATATAATTTTTTGCAATGCACGGAGTAATTGCATACATATGACGAGATGGGCCAATTTATAATGGTGGTTAAACTTTAATTTTCCAACCACTACATATGGAGTTAGCTGGGTTACAACTCGTTATAGCGTATGTACCTGCAAGGCCCCAACTCTCTGGAACAGCCTTGGAAATATCCACTCTGGTCGCTCTGGTGATGATCTGCTGGTCCCAATCTCTGCAAGATTTCCAAGCAAACACCACACCCTCTCCCGCCCGAAGAGGCGGCCCATGAATGTGGCGCTTCGTTTGGCTGGTGTCAAAGCGCCAATCGGTAACCTGGGGAAAGAAACCTCGTCTTTTCTCGAAATGCCAGATGCGTCGACTAGCTCAACCTCGGGAAACCTTCACGATGAGACTACGGGGTTAGAGAAGGGCGAGACTCCGTCAAGGATTCAAGGACCGTTAAAAAAAAAGCGTATTTTAATGAGGGCTTGCCCGTTCCCTCCTCGAGTCAGGGGGAATTTCTAGCCACACAACCAAGACGGCAAACTATCTCCACCGCCATCTCCATTGTGCTATTTTATATTGGGAATGGTGTGGTAATTGGCTTTCCCAGCTATTAATACACAGAAATCGAAGTTCTCTGAAGGGGACTTTGGACATGAGACTTCACTCTCTCTGACAAAGTCATACCTGATCTTACGAATAAACAGACAGAGATCTATAGTTATGGGCAGCGCGGAGCGGGAAATAAATCCACATGCCCACCAGCCAAAGTGCGAGGAGTGGATTGAGCAAGAACTGAAAACTGGGGGAGAGTCCTTTCAGAACAACTCAACAGGCGACGGAGCAGACGTTACAGAGAACAGGATGGACATAGGCGCCCAGTTCGGAGGTCGCTATCAAAGTTTTTGACTCGCCAATACGCTAGAAAGACACCAAAAATGCCACTTCATTTACTTACCAAAATCAGTAGGCTTCAGCTCACCATTTCTAGTTAAACCATATAGTTAAAATTTAGGGCATCAAGAACTAAAATCTTAGTTAGGTTTAGACCTACTTAAGAGGGCCCCATTTGCATTGCATGCCTATCATTCTAGGCATAACTAGACATGATACCGTTTCAATTTGGCTTTTAGTGCAGTATTATGGCTTCCATGTGAGTCGAAACTTTTGACAGTGACCCCCTCTTTACAGTTGTACCAGTGGGAACTCAGAACTACCTGAATTCTGCTCAACCTGCGAACTTGTTACTATTTTGCCGTGGCTTTCGTTCTCACAACTTTTGGAATTGTTGGCGAATAACATGATCTCAATCACAATCAGCCAAATGTTGCCCACTTAAGAACTCATACGGTCTTCAAACCACTTTTGACCAAATGCCCCCGGGGCTCAGACCCCGGCGGCTTTTCCGTTCGGCATCTGGGGCACGCTTAGTCTTCCTGGCTCCATCACAAGCCCGTATTCGACGCGTTCATGGGCTGATCGCCGATCAATCATTCCCAGTTGTGGGCTGCTGTGGCGTGCCCAAGCGGCGGACCTCCTTGTCTCAAGCGAGAGCATCTTTTGGCGCCTTCATCTCACCGCTGTATATTGGCCAATAGATGCCCTGCTGCAGCACAGTTTAGTCGGTTAGAAATCAACAGCCGGGCAGAAATAATCCGCTAAAATATCCTTTGGGTGGTCGTTTCGAGACTTGATAGAGTTTCCACGGTTCTTCTAGCGCGACTACGCGGAGAGGTTTATGAGGCAGACCAGGCTTCAGGGGGCTTGACGCAGCATCCCCCGCAGAATTCCACGAGGTGGGTAAGGATGGCAGAAGTGTGGGTCTATATCTCGGACTAGCTTTTCTATCACCCCCGGGAGAGTATTTATTTGACCATGCCTATCTCCTCTTTCTTTGATTGTCTTGATCGATGCAACAGGCTTCCTTAGTCTTTTGTCTTGTGTGGCCGCCAACATGGAGGAAAAAAGTTCCAGCATATTTGCTGTAGCAATTTCTTTGCTCGTCGCTTCGTGGCTAATCGTTGCATTTCGCTGCTACGTGCGCGCAAAACTAACCCGATGGGGTCTTGACGACATATTCGTGATCGCTGTTTTGGTACGTTAGAAAGCATCCCTACATGCACATACCCATGTATGTACAGTAGTTACAGTACATCCATAGGTTGAAGGGAACCATTATCCTGCCTGCTCTTTTGCGTGGCTAATTATTGATTCATTATTCCACAGTTGATATTCACCGGATGTGCTAGTTGCCTCATGAAAGCTGCGTCCATGGGACTTGGGAAACGTACTAAAAGCATAAAACCACGCGAGGCGATCATAGATTCATTCAAGGTCAGATATAAGAATCAGGCCCGCAGAGCAGCTTTTGTATGATGGTATCGTTAACAGCTAGCGCAGTTTTTTTTTATCGCCGATCTTTTATATATCACCTCTTCAGGAATAGTAAAGATCTCCTTCTGTTTATCTCTGTTACGAGTTGTCATCGGACGAGGTTACATCTACACGATATACGCGGTCGGTACAGTTACGGCCATTTTCACAACTTTCTACTTCTTCTTCGCCCTTTTCTCGTGCTGGCCGGTGGAATTTGTATGGGAACAGATACGAAACCCGAATAGCGGCGGGACGTGCCGGCAATATCATAAGGTCGTTGCCGGAAGCTATGCCCACGGTTCAATCGTTTGTGCGGGTGATTTGATACTCGCATTAGTCCCTGCATTGATGATACGGAAATTACAATTAAATTCTCGTACTAAGTTATCCGCTGGCCTTCTACTTGGGTTTGGATCGGTGTAAGCTTCCACTTCCTCTCCGCCCTCTCTCCTCCGTGCAATACCTCCAGATGTGCAATTACTCTAACCTTTCACAGAGCGAGCGTTGCAACCATAGCCCGTCTTACATACGTCAAATATGGATACGATCAGAAAGATTTCCTCTACACTAACACCGAGATAATGATATGGTCCATGGTGGAGATAGGGGTAAGCATCATAGCTATATCGGCTGTGACGCTGAAGCCCCTTTTGATGAAATACAAAATCTTCTTCCACTCTCAAGACAGCAATGCACGCTCGCCGCATGACCGAGGACGCATCTACAGGAACGGCGGCGGGGATTTCACGTACACAATTGGCTCAGGACCCCCACGGAAAAGCCATTATAGTCGACAACATAGATCCTCCGCGCATGGCAAGATAAGCGCCTCTAGAATGAGACCTGATAACACAGTTGCCAAGGGACGGTCATCATCGGAGGAAAATATCTGGATATCGAAAGGGGATGGGCAGACGATACCCAGTAGAGACGGAGTCGATGACGATTTGGAACTCATTCCGAGAGGACAAATACAGAAAGTTGTTGAGTTTTCGACGTCAAGGGTCGCGGCGGAACTGGACAAACATTCCACACCGACTCCTGAGCATAGGTATGAGCAGGCGTAATGTATGTACATAAATTTCTTATATATTATGGGTTCCATGTGCACGTATATGGATGAAACTGGAAATGCTATCCCCTCAGAGCTTGACCACCTGGATGATATCGCCCATACTGAGCTACATCTATTCCCAGCTTTATCTCACCATTAAATTATACTTTTAACTTTGACACTTGCCTGAACATTTGCTAACAGTTGCTGTGTCTCATATGAAAAGGGTTCTAACTACTATGTTATAGCTGTCTGTCTACTGATCGTCCTAATGTTTCTATCTGTCAACCATTGTTCTTCAACTTTGGTCATCCACTCCTTCACTTGATGAACTTATCAATCAATAATTCCATCCATTAATCATTTGCCAACACGTGGTAAACCTAACACTATATATATAAGCCCCACTGTAGTTAGCTTGTCCAAATACAATCCACAATCTTCCCCCTCCATCAGCTGTTATCAGACTATACAATATTATGACGATGCAACATATTGGGGATGTCAGTGATTTATAAATACATAAAAACAGAACAGTTGACATTTTTGTTACTTCATTTATTCCAGAACCACCCTCTCCACCTTACCCTCATTTTTGTCCAGCACGACGAGGACCTGTTGAAAAGCGTACATCTTTAGCGCAACCTGTTTCCGGAACTCAACAAGAAAACACAAATCCCATATCCAGAAAAAATAAACGCCTATTTTGTCATGCTTGATTAATGCTCATGCTTCATGCTCCATTTCTTCCGTACCGTTCCAAAGTATCAACCGCCAAACACCAGGATCAAAATGCTCCGCAAGAAACGGAAACGAAACCAGAAAAAGTGGGCTGTTGTTCAAACAGGAAGGACAGCCATCAGAGATCTCGCTAAAATAAAATCAAGTTGCAAAGGCAAGAGGACAGAAAGAGGTTTGAAGGTGAGATGGTTGTCAGGGGGTGTTAGAGTGTGTGAAGCAACAAGAGAAGATCAAAAGGGATTAGTCAATATATCTACAGCACAAAAAAGACAAAATGAAAACAAGCATGCAATCTGGCAAAGGAGGTTTCATCACCCCATATCCTCATCGTCGTCCTCAGGGTTTTCCAACGATTCCATTGCATCCTTAATAAACTGCGCAGCCTACAATTTGGGACCTTGTTAGCACGTACAATCAATCAATGAAGCAAACGAAGGACAAGCCCCCACACCAATTGCACAAAAGCAAAAAATAGAAGATCATACCTTCGGATCTAAATTCAACGCTGTTGTAAAATGCCTAATCGCACTCCCCTTATCATTAAGCATCTTATATAACTTCCCTAACAAATAATGCACATTCGGCTCATCGGGCGCTAAATCTTTCAATATCCCAAGCTCAACCTGCGCTAGCTTAAGCTCATTCAGCTTCATCAAAACCCGAGCTTTGCGCAAGCGGGCAAGCACAGACTGCGGCGCAAGTGTACAGGCCCGTCCGTACTGCAACAGCGCAGCCTTCTGATTTCCCATCCTCTCCAGCACGAGACCGATACACCACACTAACACGGCGTTGGTCGGGTTGATACTGGAGGCGGTACGGTAGTGTTGTTCTGCAAACTTGTATTTGCCCATTTTTTCGTAGACTTTGCCAATGCCGTACCAGGCGTTGTAGTGCCTGCTGTTAGCGCTGATGCCGTACCGGTAGGCATCCAGGGCTTTATCATATTCTTCGTTGGAGACGTATTCGTGTCCCTGCAATGTAAAGGCGTAGGCGAAGCTGTGGTCCAGTTGCGTGGCCCGTTTGAAGCATTTAAGCGCCTGGTCATGATCGGATTGCAGAGAGAAGGAGTTGCCGATGGCGCACCATGCCTGTGGTGATAGGCGGTCGATCTCCATCAGTTCGTGTGCCAGATAAGCCAATTCCACTTCATTTTTCAAGTGCCACAGAACAGTTGAATAAACCTCCATATCCTCTAATCTCGACGGCGCAATGGTTTTAACGCGGATGAAATACTTTTCGGCTTCAACATACATTGCCTGTTCATAATACGCTCGACCTATCTGCGACAAAACCCATGGGGTTTCTCGCTGGCTTTGCGGGAGAGAATTGAATATTTGTATAGCCTCCTGGCATTTATATGTCGTGAGTGCCGAGTAACCTTCTGCAAGTTTCGCAAAAAGATCTAAAATCCAATTGAGAGCTTCGACGTCCTTTGATTTATCCGTCGCTGCGTGTTTGGAGTGTCCACCAACCGCACCGTTCGGGACAGCAGAAGCAGGAACCCCTCGACTCTCTTTGCCGTCAATGTCCATCCCATCGGGGGCAGCTTTGCGATTACCGCTCACGACCCGTCCCATA